GCTTCAAAATTACTAGACTGCGAGCAGTCTCTCCTTTTCTTCAGATTTAGTAAGGAGAGTGCACGCGCGTGCGAGCGTCGAGCGGTGAAGCCGCAAGACGCGAGAAACGAGGGCGGCAGCTCTCCCGTCTCCCGCCTTCCATCACGCGAGTGTTCACTTTCATGTCTCGTGCATTTCACTCTTCGGACTAAGAAAAAAGAGAGAGACTGATCATAGTCTATCAAACAAATCTTTGCAACAAATCTTTGTCATCGACAATGTGTCATTACCTGATTGATGAAATCATTTCTTAAGTTTTGGAATTCCACTGACCCGTTGTCACTCAGGTTTGTATGCCACGCTACGTCCAAAAGATTAAGTTCTAGTGAGAGCGTGGTTGAGCCGCCATGATCTGCAAATTGAGTAAAATATTTTTTATTAAAATTCTCTCGGCAATTAAGCAACAAGCCAAAAGCGATGCCAGAATAGTGTACTTTAGATGGTAAACAAAAGGTGCCTGATTACGGCAGTAGTCCCTGCAGTAGTCGGCCTTGTCACCTTTGCAGTCTCTTTCTTCACATGTATTACTCCTTTCAGACGGTCAAAGTTTGTAGTTAAGCGAATCGTGTGTTGTTGTTTTTGTTGTTGTTGTTATGTTTCTTAGCCTTTTGTTCAGAGAAAAACATTGTAACATGGCGGACATTGTGATAAGGTCTACTAGTGCTTTCATCTCGACCTTATTAGTAGACTTGCTAAAAATTTTTCCCCGAATAACTGAATTAAAGAGTGGGAACTATGGGGGCAAGTTTAGTCCAATTGGCATACGAGTAACTTTAAACAAGGAAAAAAGGTAGGAGACTTCCTTACTTGTGATATAATTCCAGGGTTCGATGAACGCAGGTATATCTGTAAACCACAGGGCCAAATCGTCGTAGTAAACAGTCGGGAAAAACTCGTTCCCAAGGCTGTACATTTTCTTTGTATTAAGGGGCCTGGTTACGGCTCCGCATTTGCCCTGGCCAACACTGGTTGTTCCCCCCTCTAGAAATACACTAAGGTTTCTGTGGTTTTCCCACTTAACATGGATATGCGTCCAGGAGTTTAAAGCTAAACCTATGGAAGACAGAAAAGAACGAGACCGCGGAAAACGTCTTACTTAAACGAAAACTTATCCCAACAGCGAGCCAATCAATTACAGTCGATACATATTCCTTGCACTTAACAGTAAATCCATTTTCTTTCGATGCGTTTGAATAAAATGATCTCGTGCTGCTAGCAGGGTTCTCGTCTGATTCGCAGTTTAACCCACAACGTTATTTACCATTTTTGTTGTTGTTGTTTTGTTGTTTTGTTTTTTAATGACAGTACTAAGAACCAGAGAATTGTTTAATTCACCTTAAGCAGCGCGTACTCACCTCTGTAGAATCTAGTTTGATAAATTTTATCATAGCCCACTGACGGTCTTTTTATTTTCTCAATAAGAGAAAACACACATGTCTTGCTAGAATACAACTTTTTCGACTAATATAAACAATTACACTGCTACTATACTTACCAAATGTTCTGAAACAATAATCACTACTCCCAAAAACAGTCACGTTAACAGCCTTATGCTTTGTGCGCTCGTTGTAGTAAATCGAAATTCCTTGGTTCGGTTCTATGCCATCGTTGTTGCCAAAGAACATCTGGAAGCCGTCGACACTGTCCGATCCCCTTGGTCGGTATTTAATAAACATTGTTATTGAAAAACCGGTGGGGCAATTAGATGGATCGAAGAGGCAAGAGGATTCAGTCACCTCAATCAGATCCACTGACGTCGTGTCTGTCAAATAGAGAGACTTGCTTGTTGGAGAGTCTTTCGATTCCGGCGATCCGTGCAGAGTGATTTCGGTCCCAGTCCTCTGATCAGCAATCTGCGGTATTTGCGATTGATCAAAGCTCCAGTAATGGTCAGCATCGTTATACAAAATACAGCCTATGTCTCCTAAATTGCAACAAAAAAAAAAGGCGAGAAAAGTTAAGCTATAAAGGAGCCAAGACGACTAGACGAGCCAACTTTTTTTTCCCATGTAAACAGTTCGCCACGTGTTGTGAAGAAATGAATGAAACGTAGGCTGGCGGGCCGCCAAGGAAATCAAGGGAAGCTCCGGTAGCTGGATGACCCTTCAAACTGGGATAACTTTTCTCCATGTAAATGGGGTATGTGTCAATTGATCGTACACATCGTTGGTCGGTTATCTTACTGAACAGATATCAAACAAACTAGTTCTTTAAATCGCGTATACAGATTAAAATGGCTAAGGTAAATGTAGAAAAGGTTTTTCCCCTCAAGATGATATTGAGTAATTCTTTCTTGGCTTCGACAAGCAAACTCACACCCACAGGTTTTGCAATTTTAAAAAAAATATCTCTCCCACTTTTCTATGAAACACCCTTTCGAAGGTAACGGCGGGGACGGATGTAGGTTTGTAAGGATCTACCGTGACTATTTCTTTACGACAGTCTATATTTATCATTCTAGGTCTCGTATAGTATTTTATCAAGAACTAAATTCATTTCAAGGACTTCTAGAAAGGTAGATGAAAGAAAGCAGAAAAGCTATCAAAATTTTCTTTTCTTGCCTGTGACTGAAAAGTTGAAGCAATCTTACCTTTCCCTTGCTCTTCTGTCGCGGCAGACACTTCCTCGCTTGAAGGACCATCGCCTTTTCTAGTAAAAGCTAAAACAGATAAACTGTAGGCGTAGCCTTTCAACAGAGCTGAAAATTCAAATTCATATTCTCCGCCAATGTCAAAGCCTCCTGTCTCATTCCTTACAATTGCCTCGGAGGTGTTGTCCTTTAAGGTCAGGCGAAATTCAATGATACCGTGACGGCAACATTCATGGACTGGGCCCCAGACAGCCTTCAGTGAGGTACAGCTTGTTTTGAAGAGTTGCAAATTGACAGGAGCCTGGGAAGGAGCTGATAAAAGATGAAAATTATTATTACAGACGTTGTATCTTACTTATTTGTTCATCTTTTAGCGATAGCGATGCTGATGCCGCCGAAAGGCAAACTGATCAGTGTGTATTACATGAATATCGACTCCTGCTCTTTACATCCACACAAAGATAAGTAGTTTCAAGTCAGGAATAAGAATTATTTTGCACAGTTTTTAGCTGTTCATCTCCGACTTTGAGAAATTGTCAACTTCAATCTGACTTTTGCCGTTTGCCGAAAGGACAATTCTCAATCTCTCCAATATTCACTCCAGCGACCTGCCTAATATTAAAAGCTAACCAAAGGTATATCAAATTTAACGTTACTGCGGAGGAATTCGAAAGAAAACGGAGAATGAGTGCATTAATTTTCAAGTAAAAATTAAATGCTGCTATGCAGTTTGGATGTAACTGTTGTTTCCAAATCGGTAAATTAGTACAGAGGATATGGAATATTCCTTTAATAATTACATTGCTTTTCTTTAGTTTTAGTTTATGCATGGTTAATTCTTGAGTCCACTTACCCTCTTCTTCTGTCATGGCGACCACCTCCTGGCTTAAATTACCGTCGCCCTTACTGGTGAAAGCTAGAATAGAGAAGTTGTAGGGGTAGCCTTTTAATAGCGACGAAAATTCAAATTCATATTGACCGCCTGCAATGGTTTCATTCCCCGCAACTTCCCCAGTCTTATTTTTCAAGAACAGGCGATATCCGAGAATGATACCATGGCGACAACAATCGGGGACTGGGCCCCAGACAGCCTTCAAAGAAGTGGAGCTTGTGTTGAAGAGCTGCACATCCGCGGGAGCCTGGGACGGAACTAAAAAGGAAAGAAAAGGATTTTTAAAATCAGTTATAATTTTCGCTTCTCAAACTACCTCTGTTGCATTACTGCTTACTTAACTGGACTTTGATGGGAACAAAAAAATTAATATAATAAGCATCTACCTTAAACGTGTTTCAAAGTCTCCCCTGTGGTACTTGATAGGTATCTTGTTACCTTGTTAGTTCCTGGTTAACCTGCAATTCTCCTACTTCCCTTGTAATCTCTATAACACTCCTGTCTTTCAGGGTGAAACAGTTGTTCTCTGTTTTCGTGCTTTTATATCTTTCTGTCATAGCTCAATCATAAACAAACAATAATAACGTATTATCTAGCATATTTCTCAATAATTACGATCCTTTTTTCCATTTTAAGGTGTGTAACTTTAAGAACCCTTACCATCTTCCTCTGTCATGGCGACCACCTCCTCGCTAGACGGACCCATCCCCATGCTGGTAAAAGCCAAAACAGAGACTCTGTAGGAGTAACCTTTCAACAGCCCCGAAAATTCCAATTCATATTGGCCTCCTGATACGTTTTCATTATGCGCAATTTCCGAGGTCGCATTTGTTTTTAAGGTCAGGTGATATCCCTGAATGACACCGTGACGACAGCATTCGGGGACTGGGCCCCAAACGGCCTTTAAAGAGGTGGAACTTGTGTTGAAGAGCTGAACATCAGTGGGAGCCTGGGACGGAACTAAAAGGAGCGAAAAGGATTTTTATTCGCGTCATATACTACTACCTTTGTAGGAATTTTTGCTAACTTAACTTTTCAGTAATTAACAAAAACTACAAAGTAAAACTGACCAACAGTTGGTTTGTGAAATTTGTTACATACTGTTTGGCGAAACATTTATGTTTAGATAGAAAGGGTTGTAGAGAAGGTCACAAACCGTTTTTTATCCAGTATACTACAGCACATCACTCTGGTACCTAACCAATAGGTTGACGGTATTTCTTTAGATAAGATAGAGGTTTACAAGGACGTATTTTAGTAACGCTGAAACCAGGTTGCCTCACTTAAATTAGTTACGCAGGGGGGTCTCTCGGCTAAGAAGCAAGTACACTTTAACAAAGGTAGGGTCCATTGGTTATGACTCGTTTAATGGGCACGAAGTAATCGGTCCAAGTTTTCAGATTTCTTACTAGTCCCTCCAAGCTGTAATGACTGCCTGTAAATAGCGTATTACCAAAAAATTTTCTCTTTTATGATATCTTAAAAGGTTCCCTCACCGCCTTCTGCCGTTGCGTTAACTTGTATGGGTCCTGCTAATCCTCCGGCCTTGAACGAGTACGGAGCGACACGAATAGAGTAGTTTGTATATGGCGCCAAGTTTGAGATTGTCTGATGTCGATACCATCCACCTCTTTTGTCAATTTCTTGCCACCATTCGTCGTTGTCCGTTTGTTTGTACAGTACTTTATATCCCATTAAATCGGGGCTATCGTCTACTCCTGGAACATGGTTGAACTCTATTCCTATTGAGTTAGAGGTTGATGAAATACCTTTTGTAATGACTGCAAGCCCCCTGCAAAAAACTGGAAAAAAACGGATGAAAATTATTCTTCGTTTACAATCACGTGACAAGGCGGCCATGTTAGGTCAAAAAACTATACAATTTTTTTCTTCACAGAATTCGCATGAAAAGAAAAGTTCCTTTCCCAGAAGGGGGAAACGCTTTTGGTTTTGCCAATCAGCATGACCACGGCGACTTCAATTGTTTCAGACTTGCCCCAATCCTCTGTTTCAAAGCGAGGCTAATTGCGAAGCTATTGATATGAAAATGATTATTTATTCTCATGCAAATAAAATTTTGCACGTAGCAAGGTTTGCACGTAGCCTCGTTTTGAAAGTGAGGGTTTTTGGAACTCGGAAATGGTCTATTGTATAGTAATAATGAGTTTTACCGCGTATAAGAAATTACATTGTTGTTAACAATGTTGTTACACGTTGCATGGATTGTATACATCATAGGAATCTTTGTTTGCTACTTACATCCATCGTCGGCTGAGCAATTTGTTATACTGGCATAACTTTCCAGAAACCTGTTTCTTTCTAAACTGTCCTGCAAAATTAAGGTGTCGTTCCAGGTTGTCTTGCCAGAGAATGTTATCTTCACATCAGCCCGTACTTTTCCTTGAAGACCAGCATCACTTCTAGAAAGATTGAAAACCACTCTATTATGTAACATATCAAACATCAGACACTGCTTCAGTGACATCAACCCCGTTCCTAGAGTCCCCTCCTACTCGTCCCCCCCGGGAGCGAGAGGGGGACGAGAGTAGAATAGTACCCTGGGAACGAGCCTGCAGTTACATCCGATATCTAGCCACTCAGAAGAAGCTTGGAAACACGAGACGCATAATTGGTATTTTAAAAATAATAATAATAATTAAAATTACTTACCTAAATTGATCAACGTCTATTTCACTGGGCTGGTTGTTGCTCCTGCTACTGTTATAAATTGTTTGAATCTGAAATAATGAAAAAACCCAAGATGCATGGACAACTAACGGAGTCAAGGAAGTAGCCAAATATATGATGGAGTCAACGATCAGGCAAAAAAAACAACAACAACAACAAAATAACGTGGCCTTGATAACAGCCATCAGTTTGGTTTCCCTGCTATTCTTCTCCATACTGATTAACACAAAACATGTAGGTCTACTTTAGGGAGGGGCCGCCCAGTTGGGAGGTGCTCTCCAACTCGTCATCTTTTCTATTTTTAGTATTTTTAATTTCAGGTGTTAAAAGACTGGGTAAAGCAATGAGATCGTTGGGGATTCTGGGAAGGACGAAAGCGTAGTAGGATGTTCCCCCATTTTTACCCTGACGTCACTTGATGGGACAAGTCCTGGTAGATTTTGTCATGGTTGGACACTGAGAAAGACTATGAAGTCCTCTTAGGGGTTAATATTCCTGAACCGACCCAATTTTTCTTGCCAAATACATTTTGTTTTACTTCCGCAAGTTTTGTGTTTCCGCCCTCGCCAAATTTCTCCAGTATGATAACTTTTAAGGCCATTGTTTCAAATGATTCGTAAAATTCATTTTCCTTCCGTTCCCCTTATACTTACCTGGACGATAAAATCATTTCTTAAGTCTTGAAACTGCTGTGACTCGTTAGTACTTAGATCTACATCCCAAGCTTTATCCCAAAGTGTAATCTCTAATAAGAGTGTGGTGGAGCCGCCAAAATCTGCCAAAGAGGTAAACTATCATTCAGTCGACACTACCATGGTAATGAAGCAGCCAGCAAAAACTAACGCTAGGATAATTGGCCATGGTGTAACCATGTGGGAAACTGGGTACAATAAGCGGCCAAAAAGCTTCTTGGGATCGTTTGGAGGGACCAAATAAAGGTCAACGTACATGGCGCACTACAACTCCTGCCTGTTTCAAAGTGGAATGAATCTTCAGAAATGCAACTAATCTTCACTATTACAGAATTCCAAAGGACTTTGATGCAACAGGTATGCCTTCTTCAGTCAGAAAAATTTTTATCGTGCTTTTGACTGATGACTTACTGCTGTCCGCAAAACGATGGCTGTCTGCTGTTCATTCAAACGATCCGTAGAGCCTTTGCGGTCATAAGCCGTACCAGTTCTGTGCTCATTCAGAACATGGCCAATGAAAGGACCGGTATCTCGGCACTAATCAGTGATACCATATAATCAAATCAAATCGATCAAAACCGTTATTTATACACGATGACATTTAAAGCTTGGTAGCTTGAGGGGTCGTGTAGAGAATATATAATTAGACAATTGTATTAACTAAAATAACTTTAAAAACGCTAGATTAAAACATTAAAGAAATATAAATAAATAAAAAAATTCTTAAAATACTTTTCAATTAACTCTTTCTAACAATTTCACAGATGTTTCGACAGAGAAACGATTAAAAATATCTCCAACTTCTTACTTTACAGGTTACACCGCCCGACCGAGCGACAGTCCGTCCGCACCACAGGCATATGAATGTAAAATGACTCAATCAACAGGTATAGCAAACCAAATGCAACTCGAGATTATTTTGGCGGGAAGTCGCATAGCTACCCGAGTATTGTGAAGCAGAGGTAACTAAAGAGTCAATAAAGACGAAAAAGGAAAGCGGAAATTGTTTCTGTATCCGTGTTGTCTGAAGTATTAGGCTTAGATTAATTGCCATGTCCACAAATTTGGAATATAAAAAAGAGAAAGACAGAGAAAAAGAGAAAGTAGGCGATAGGCCAGCGAAGCTCAACGAGAAAACTGAGAGCGACGGAGAGCTAAAGCGAGAGATAAAAGCAAAGGATAAATTTTTTTGGAGAGAACAACTTGACAATCTTGTAGCGGCGGTGAGAAAATGAGAAATGCTACCGGCCACCCTGGCTAAATCTACATATTACTTCCTCTAAATGCATTTATACCGTCCGGTCGTAGATGAAACACAGTTCTCCTTACCTATAATATGATTCCAAGGCTCAATGAACGGAGATTTGTTTGTAAACCACAGTGCTAAATTGTCCAGGTAAACAATCGGAAAAAACACTTTTCCGAGGCTATATATTCTTGCTGTAGAAAGAGGCGTAACTATGTTCCCGCAGATTACACTGGCGATAGAATTAGTTTCCCCTTCTAAGAAGACATTCAAGTCTCCAGTGTTTTGCCACTTAACGTGGAGATGCGTCCAGGACCCCTTAACTAATTCTGTGAAGCAAAGGAAAAAGTATATGAGATAATATAGCGTATCCATGGTAATTGCCATATTTCACCCCTTGAAAAGCAAGGCTATGTATCTGCCTTAGTCGTTTGATATTAAGCATTATCTACACAGTTGTACTTACCAAATGTCCCGTAACAATAACTGCTGCTTCCAAAAACTGTAACGTTTACATTCTTTGATGTTTCGTCGTAGTAGATGGAAATTCCTTGATTCAACTGTATCCCTTCCCTGTTGCCAAAGAACATTTGGGTACCGTTGACGCTGTAGGATCCCCTTGGTCGGTATTTAATAAACATAGTAATTGAAAAACCGGTAACGCAGTTTGATGGATCGAAGAGGCAAGAAGATTCAGTAACCTCCAAAAGATCTAATGAAGAAGTCCCTGATAAATAGAGGGCGTTGTTTGTTGGAGAGTCTTTCAGTTCTGGTGATCCGTGTGAGGTAACTCCCGTCCCAGTCCTCTGATCAGCAATCTGCGACACTTGTGATTGATCAAAGTTCCAGTAATGTTCAGCCGCGCTATAAAGACCGCTTATGTCTTCTACATAGCAGAGAAAACAAAGTCATTCAGTACGTAGTTTGCTTGTTCAAATTTATCTTCGAGTGTGGAGAAATATTCCAACACGTGAAGAGAAATTTCGTGTCTTCGTGCGGCCATTTAAAGTTCTGTTTATTATATTAACACCAATGAAATGCCCAACTATTCCACTTTTGAACAATTTTTTTGCTGCAAAAGGCGCGAATCATTATGTAACCATGGCAACGGTGATCTTTACACATGTGATTCGTGCTGTGAGTTTATCGTAAACATTTCGAGTGCGACAACTTTGTATTAACCAGATTAATCAT